CTTTATAACATCTTTCACTCTTATATAACTCAGTCTTATTTATATATTAGTGACTGATATTAAAGGAAGATGAATCAAGTGCACAAACTTTATAACATCTTTCACTCTTATATAACTCAGTCTTATTTATATATTAGTGACTGATATTGAAGGAAGATGAATCAAGTGCACAAACTTTATAACATCTTTCACTCTCATGCCTCCAGTACATCAACCAGCACAACTATCTATTCAGTTGTGAATTATAGAGAAAGCACAAAAGTACGAATAATATATTAGTTTCAATTGTTTCTCATTCATAGCGTGACGTGTTACTTATAAAAATGTCCTTCATGTTGGTGTCTATTCTATACGAAACTACAATGTCAGTCACGTGCGTCCAAAGTGTCCTGAATCTCACCGACTCAAGAATACAAAAGAAGAAGAAAAAAAGGCATCTCCCTTCAATATTGAAATACGGCCTAATAAATATCTTTTTTTTAAGTCTTAGTAGTCATTTAACCAAGAAGTCATCGAACGCGAAACAACAGCTGAAAGAAGTTGTGGTGACAAGTTTCACTACTAATGTATCACATATAAAAACCTTAAAGGTTGTTTAATACCTTAATTAAATCCTCCTGCCACTGCTAGAAATCGTTCAGCCTCAGGTCAGCATTCAAGTATATTGCAACAATGAAAAGTTGAGTTTGTTGTTGCTCAAGACAAAAAAAAAAAAAAAAGAATGTGTTTGTTATCGTCTAACAGGTAAATTGGAAGCTGTTTATTTTTAATTATGGGTAATTCATAAAATGAAGTTGGTTTTTTTTCTTCTTTTAAAGTTTGAAAGTATATCAGGCTTAAAATCAATTCGTAGTAAAGAACTTATTTGTAATTGCTCAACCTAGGTACTAAAACTTCCATAACAGTAATAAAGGGAAGGATCATATTTAGAAAATCGTATTGAAATAAAAGATAAAACCATTGCAATTCCGATATACGGACCCGTCCAAAGTGTTAGGGTTTTACCTGTCTTTCTAATCAATGTTGTTAAATAAAACTTACACTCGTCCTCTCCAAATTCCACAGTTAGTTAAAATTAACATTTATACACTAATCTTCAGTTTCCCATCGACCCAAATTTTGCCCAAGTTATAACCCCCCCCCCCCACATCAGTGGCACGACGGTAAGTGTGTAAACCGGGTTTCGATACCGTGATGGGCACAGCGCAGGTAGCCTATTGTGTAGATTTGTGCTTAACAGTAAACAAACCAAGTTCTGAAAATGTTCTGTATCTAAATATACTGCATATAATATGAATTTTCTGTTAAGTATTTAGTTTTTAATGAAATGTAATTTCAAAGTTTATTTCAAGCCTAAACAAAATACACTCTCAACATGACTCTATATATGGTTTAAAACTTTAAATGAAAGCTTTCGTTGGAATAAAAATAAAAACGAGCTCTGTTGTATATACTTTTCAACACAATTTTTACGTATTTACACGAAATGATTAGAGCAGAAATACATGGATTTATTTACTTATGGATAAACTTGTAGCTATTTTAAAAAACATTTTTTTAAACACTAACTTTTCGCGAGGTTTACCTAACATTATCAGGAGACAATTTCTAAATAGGTGCACTCGAACACCTTTATAAATTGTTTAGATTAAGTTTTGTGTTATTGATTTATGACGTTTTAATTTTGTCTTGTTAACTTATAAAACCTCGTTTCACAACTAGTAAAATACGAAAGCAAACCGGCCCGAAATGGCCAGGTGGTTAGGGCACTCGACTCGCAATATTAGGGTCGCGGGTTCGAATCCCCGTCACACCAAACATGCTCGTCCTTTCAGCCGTGGGGGCGTTATAATGTGACGGTCAATTTCAATATTCGTTGGAAAAAGAGTAGCCCAAGAGTTGGCGGTAGGTGGTGATGACTAGCTGCCTTCTGTCTAGTCTTTCGCTGCTAAATTAGGGAGGGCTATTGCAGATAGTTCTCGTGTAGCTTTGCGCGAAATTCCAACCTTTCCAATATTTTGAGACAAAAAAAAACGCTAAAAGCCATCAAAACTAATCTAGATAACGTTTCAAATGTGATTGTTTTAGAATTTTTGCGTGAGGTTATTACACAAGGCCATCTCCGCACGGCCGTACCTAATAATAAGGCCTAATTATGATCTGACACGAGTAGAGAAAAGGCAGATAGGCAAACCACCCACCTCCAGCTCTTAGGTTACTCTTCCTTAACCGACTATTTGAATTTGATTGTCATTCTTATAGTGCACCTCCAGCCAGGATGTTCGGAGCGTGATTTTGCGGCAAAGGGACGCGAATATGGAACTCCCAGACTCACACCCAGCTCTCTATACTTTTTTGTTTGTTAGTATGTTTCTTGCCGCAAAACTATCCAATCTCTGCTCTGCCCAACAAGGATATCAAAACCAGATCAGATTTCTAACGTTATATGCCCTAGGACTTGCCGCTGAGCCACCGGGGTTGGAAGGTTCTACACGATGCTGTCAAGTGAAAACTTTTTCAACATGAGTTGAGCCTATTTCACATTTAACAGACAAACTAATATTTTATTGACTCATTAAAACGAAAATACTTATAATGAAACGACTTTGTTCTTAAATATTTTAAAAAATACTTTTGGATATAATAACCTAGTAAATTAACTGGGTACGACTAATATTATCATGCTTTATTAAATGTTATGTCATCTTTCTACTAAATTTGGAGTATTAGACTTGAAATTACGTTTATTTTCATTTTATTACATGTTTATATAATGGGCCTCCACTATAACAGCCTTGATATTCGAGATATTATCTAAAGTTTTTAATATAATATAGTTTGTTTCATATATACATAATCTTCTAAGTATTCCCTGTGCTATAAACTGACCCCTCAGTGGCACCGCGGTATGTCAGCGGACTTACAACGCTATAAACCGGATTTCGATACCCGTAGTGGGCAGAGCACAGATAGCCCATTGTGTAGCTTCATACTTATCCTATCCCACTATTCATTGGTAAAAGAGTAGCCCAAGAGTTGGCGGTGGGTGATGATGACTAGCTGCCTTCCCTCTAGTCTTACACTGCTAAATTAGGGACGGCTAGCGCAGATAGCCCGAGTGTAGCTTTGCGCGAAATTCAACACAAACAAACAAGTTATAAACGGGATCGTGAATGAATAAGCAAACAATGTAAATCAATATCGTAATCAATTACAATAAACGATTAATTGATTAACTTGTGAAACGCCAAATAATCGTCGTTGCCATCGAGTTAACCATTTAAAATACTAACAATAAATGAATGAAAACCACTGTGTGGTATCATAGCAGTTCTTAAAATCGATTCTACTATTTGTCCTAACTATGATTAGTTGAAATATTCGTTAAGGGCAATGCATTAAAGAATTATGACATTAACATGAATAACAAAAAATGCCCTCGACGAATTTTCGCTTACCTCACATATAGTGGAGTTTATAATTTGTACTACCTTATTCCCAAAATATAACGACCCAATCACTTTAAAGTCACATTGACAGGGGCGTTCACAAGGAGTGGGGTGCAAGCAGGTCAGGCCCGGCATGGCCAGGTGGATAAGGCGCTCGACTCACAAT